TACTGCTTCGAATCAATTCAGTCCTATAGTTCAATAGCTAATGGAAAACATAGTTTCACAGAAAGAAAATAAAAAATTCATATCATAGTTCTTTCGCAACAGTGAGATTATTTCCTACAAACCAATGAAATGATGAGTATAGTTCCCACAATTCCAATCACTGTCACTGTCCCCATCGAATTGAATCAATGGGATCAAATATTCAAATATATGAAAGGAACTAGACCCTGACTTTACAGACGCAACTCAAATCAATTTGTGAATAAAACTTATAAATACAATAAACAAAAGGAGTTCAAACGTGTTCTGAATAGATTACAGGCATACATTTTCAGAAGAGGTCTGCTTCTGGGACAGAAGGGTTTTGGCTTTCTACTTCTCTATGTCGATACGAAAAATGTGAGGAACTTCCGAAAACCAAAAGAAAGTAATTGAGCTCGAAACAAACTTCCTGCAAAACTGTGGAGAAATGCATAGAAGTTACTTTCAGATAGAAATTGAAAAAAACTCCTCCAGAAACAACTACTTCCACATGAACATTGAATTGCTTGAAATATAATGTTAATATCTTCAACTACTACAAAATGGCGGACCATTCAATAATTTTCTGAAGAAAACACAGTAGTGTCGATATTTTTGGAAATATTCCTTTTTAACTGCCATATGGTAATTCCAACAACCCGGTAATATTTTTTTTTGTTTATGAAAATGTCAAAAAATGTCAGTACGACAATGAACATCATTGTTCAGTTAGAATATTTTCATTTAGTTTTCGGTTTTACTAGTAGAAAGGTACCACGTCAACAATCTCTAAAATGGTCAATTCTCGTCCATTGGAAGAAAAAAATGAAGCGATTTTTATTTACGGTGCGACACGTAACTTTCACATGACCGAAAGTATTTTCAATGAACGTTTTTCTAATCGTTCTATCCGTAGAAAATATTTGAGGTAACTTGTATCCAAATTTACAACTACCGGTAGTGTACATAACAAAAAGCTCCTAGGTCACCGCCCATTCTGGAAGAATAGCAAGTGCAAATAATTGGTGGGATGGTAATAAACAGTCTACTTATTCCGTCGCGAATGTTTTTGAGGTGTCTCTTTCTACTGTGTGGATACTTTTGAAGAGGAGTAGGTATCACCCATACAAAATAAAAATGGTTCACCAATTAACTGAAGATGACCATGATCGAAGAACAGAATTCTGCGAAATCATGATGAAAACCATTGCAAGGCATCCTACCTATTTCCACAATATTTTTTTAAGATACGAATGTACATTTCTTCCAAACGGCAATGTGCACAAACAAAATTGTCGTTATTGGAGTGACACCAACCCTCACGTTTTCCGGGAAACACCTACCCAATATCCAGAAAAATTACCGTTTGAGCAGAAATGTTGGGAAACCATATTGTAGGACCTCTATTGATCAAAATTCAACAGGGAAACCGTATTTAAATATGCTGGAAACTACTGTTGACCCTCTCATCACTGAAATCGTCAAAACGAATTCTAATGAATTCGACATGGATATTGTATTCCAACAATATGAAGCACCAACACATTACTCCAGACAAGTAAGGATCTATTTGGATACTATTTTTCCCAGTCGTTGGACTGGCCATCGAGGTCCGACAGAATGGCCAGCCTGCTCGCCAGATTTGACACCTTTCGACTTTTTCATGAGGCTACTTGAAGCAAAAGGTGTACGGTATACGGCAGAGAATAATAATATTTGTAGAGATATTGACGTTACTGTGTTCGAAGTGAAATATCGGATAACATGTTCATATATCAAGAAGTTCAAGGCAACCATTTCGAGCATCTTCTAAACTGACCTCAAGCTCATTACCTCATATCATGTAGTTAAATGTTAATGTATTCAGGAAATTATTGAATGTTTGCCATTTTGTAGTGTTTGAAGATATTGACATTATATTCTAGGATTGTGAAGCATTTGTCAGCTTCGAAAAGATATGTCACAAGATCCCCCTTTCCATTTAATTTTTTTTCTCAGATGGCGCCCAGTCGCCATCTTGAAAGTTTTATTTGTCAATTTCACTAAAAAATAAAAGGGGGGGACGTCAAAGAAAAGCTCTGTATAATCATGTAAGAATGTAAAAAGGTAATATGTAAAAAATGAAAATGCAAAAATGGTAAATATAAAAAAAAAATGCAAACACCTAAAAAGTATAAAAACTGCAACAAATGTTAGGCTGGAAAGAATGATAGAAAGAATAATGCAAATATTTGACAAATAAATGTCCCACTTTACTAGTTCCCATTTTAGTAGGTAGTTTCAAAAGTGTTCTTACATGGTATAAATAAGTTTACTGATGAAGGAACACTGACTAAAGCCTTACCTGGGCGTGGGTGTTCTTTCATCGTGTATGATTATTGAATAATTATAAGTATAATATCAAAAAAGAAAAAGTGGAGTAGTGACATTAGACATTGAATAGTGTATTTGACTCGCAGACATACACACATTTTGCAGCATTTAAGGAACAATTAAGTTATGTATGCGGTTGAAGGAGAATAAGAAAAAATACAAGGAAATATAAGGAATATGAACATGAACCCATTCTCTCTGGGTAAGTATAGTAAGGCAATTAACCGCATTTCATGTGATCGAGGGATCAATTAATCAGTACAAGCTGAAGAATTTCACATTTTCACTATGTTTCAAAGATGAATTTGGTATTTTTCCTGTTCCCACAAAAATACTATGATGAATTATCCAATTTGGTACTGAATAGCCTTGGGGCAAGTGTCTTAAGGCGAAACATCGATGTATACCAGTGAGGATGACACTGTTCCATGTGAGTGCAATTTTTTACATTCATTTAGGAAGTATTCTATTCTTGGTATACAGAAATAGTATTAGTAAAATTAAAAACTTTCAGGGACATATTATATCCTACGCTGACGATACGGTCATTATCTTCTCAGGGGACTCATGGCAAGGAGTCTACAGAAAAGCGGAAAATCAAATGAAAAAGATGAAAGCATGGCTCGATTATAATCTTCTTAGCCTAAACGTTGGAAAAACAAAATTTATGACAATCACTTTAACAAAAAGCGACCAACCAANACACTGTCTTCCGACAGTCCAAGTCTCTGCATATGATGATTCAAATGACAGTGACCTGTAAGAAGGCCTGTTAGACATCGTAGTTCATCCCTACTGTAGTAGCTTCGGAGGGTGAATAAATGCCTTGTACTGAGCCAATCCTAGAAGATTCTGCCAGAAGTTGTTTGGCAAAGCCTAAAGCGATGCCAATGACAGGTTCTGGTCCAATGAAGCCGCTTGCAGCACCCTCCTTTGCAAGAGAGTCAGCAGCTTCAATGTCTTCCAGGCCAGTATGGCCAGGAATCCAGACCAGAGACAATCTGTTAAGTCTTCCTATAGAGGAGAGTCTTATTTGGCAGTTTGCTACCAATTTAGACGTTGCTCGGTAAGAGCCAAGAGCTTCCAACGCCGCTTGACTGTCCGAGAATATTTTCATTGACTTGTGAGTGAGGTTGGATTTATCCAATCTCTCCGCACACAACTCAATAGCGTAAATTTCCGCTTGAAATATAGTGGCATAAGTTCCTAGGCAGGTAGATAACTCTGTCCTGGGTCTGCGACTGAAAACACCTACACCAGAACCGGAAGGTGTTTTTGATCCATCTGTGAACCAACAACTACCTGCTCTTAATATTTCTTTCTCCCGGAGACTCCAGTCCTCTCTACTCGGGAATAGTACTTTATAAGGCAGTTCGTAGTTGACAGTTGGAGGCATAAAGTCAGAGGTCATTTCCAGAATGCTGTGACTTCCAATGTCAACCAACAGTCTGTTACACTCTGCATTGAATTGATTTGTGCAATTGGTAATGTGCACATGTCTGTATGCAGTCCATCTAGCCTCTCTTTCCAGAAAAATGTGGAGAAGAGGTAGATCTAGAAGGATATCCATGGCCGCTAACGGTGTGGTACTAATGGCACCGCTGACAGCCACTCTGTAAGCCAGAGAGCTTCGCTTGGGCCGTTTTCTGTAAATTTTTCGGCCATCAATCAATTGCACCATAAGTGATCATTGGTCTGACAGTCATCACATAAACCCAATGTATTTGTTTGGGACCTAAACCCCAAGTTTTACTACAAATCCTTCCACATGTCGATAGAGAAAGTCTGGCTTTGTGTAATTTTTCACCAACTGTGAACAACGTCCAACGCGCTTTGGAGGATATTACAAGCTACGCTTCCCTACGTGGACCTTGCCAGGATGACAAGGTCATCTGCATAAGCTTGCAGATCAACTTTTTTTCTGTCGAGGGCATCAGGCAGCCCCTGGTGACCCTGAAACTGATAGCCTCGCCTTGAAGAGTCGTAGTTGCAGTTCTCTTTACTATCCAGCCAGTTATGGTCGATTCTATACCCTTTCTAGCCAGAGACAATCCTATAGATTTAGGTAGTGCATTGTCAAATGCTCCTTCAATATCAAGAAATACAGATCTCAGATGGTAATCAGAGAACATATTATGCCCATGTGCAGACATTGATTTCATATGGTTGTCATTTCAAACTAATACTGTATTAGTTTGAAAATGTCTTTATATGATGAAACTACAGTAACGATAGTTGCAAGTACCAAGTGGTATAAAAACAGGAAATTTTATTTCTCATTCTTCAATCTGATGAGCCCCAACCCGAGCAATAAGCACTCAAAACATTAGCTGCTTACTGAGATAACAGTTGTCTCTATAAGTGCTGTTATATCATAAATATTTTTGAAATTCGTTTCAATTTAATCTAGTTTATGAATATTGATCGTATGAAAGATCGTTTGGTATATTTTAATTTAAAACTTTTATTGATTGAAAAAAAATAAATAACTACTTTCACTCGGTATAAAATACTCGAATAAGAATTTACATTTTGGAAAAAAATATGTTTGCCGTGTCCCCTTTGATAAGGGCATTGCAATCAAACTATCATTAATACATCTTTTACGAAATGTTGTTTTTTTTTTTTTTTAGTGAAAGTATGTCCCCACGCTGGAGGTGTTGGACTTTGCGAAATGGTACAGCATTTGCAGATGTGGGATTATGTCGCCCTTTCTGGAACATCTGAGGGAAAATGGGTGGAATATGTTGATCAACAACATGAACATTTCGTCTACCCAACCATCATCGAAAATGCACACTACATGGCGCCTAGGGTATGTATCTTTGAATACAGTGTTCACCACTGAATAATAATCAATAAATTTCAAAGTAAACTCCCTACGAAGATGTGTTCTATCCCACAAACTAATAGTCCGACAGCTGTGAAATTTGTACACGTCTTTCGAACGTCAGCGTTAACTAAAAATCATATGAATTTATTACTACGAACTGCGCCATCTGTGTTAGCATACGTACTTTTGAGCCCAACTAATATGTTCATCGAAACTTTTAACCATAAACTTTCATAGCAAACTTTTTTTGTCTAGGTAAAGAATTCATATTACAACATTAATCATCATATTATTTTACAGGCTCCTGGATATAATACTGAGATGAAGAAGGAAGCATTGGAAGATTATGTCTATCCCCATGGAAAAGCATGGGAAGCCATGTTCGCAAAAGGAATGTTCAGTGACCCAAGAAAAAATAAAAAATGAAGGGAGAAATTTTTAGCTAAATGAAGTGACTTCTGTTTTTAGAAGCCAATATGTAATGGCATTTTACTTCTTCTTAATATTATTGTTAATATAGCTCTGAACCTCGTATGTGAATTTTAATGAATATTTGTAGATTTCTCATGAGCTAAACGAGTAGCAAATAGCGGTCCTAAAATTTTGAGACAATAGAGGAAAAAATGGTATAAAAATATTGTTCACAAATAAAGAATTATCAATAATTTCAAATAATTATTTTTGGAAATCAATTGTTTCAGGATGAACATCACTAAAAGATATCCCCGTAGAAAGTTTATGAAACATTAAAATTGAAAAAAGGTTTGAATATATTGAAAAATATTTCAAATTTTCACATTAGAATGGGATGAGATAAATCTGCTCACGCATCACAATGAAAGTACTTAAAACATTCATATTGTTATTTGATTTCAATGCCAGCCATAGGAACTTTCTTTGAATTGAAAAGGGGGGCATTTTTCAGGAGATAGTTTTAGGGAAAAAATCTTNAAAATTAGTGCAAAGAATTTTCGCCTAGAGTACTTTTATGTCTGTCTTACAATGAATCCTAAAGCTCGATTTGCGGTATTTCTTATATGTTCAATATGTTTTTCAATGATAATTTGCCATCATAGGTTATTCCTAAGTCTTTGCATTCTTCCACTCTTTTTAGCGATTCGTTGTTCATGCGGTAGTCAAAAGAAATGGGATCCTTTTGGCGGGTAATTGTCATAACTCAACATTTTTTTAGGTTAAAATCTAACTTACATCGAACACTCCATATCAATAAACTATTCTGTAAATCTTTCTGTAGGGCAGAGCAATCTCTGACTGACATAATCGGCGAAAAGCACATATTTGGAGTGCTCTATATAATCTGGCAAGTCATTAAGAAATAACAAAAAGAACAAGTGCCCCCAAGTTTGAACCGTGGGGCACCCGTGAGGAAGCATGGAATTTGCCTGAGGTATTTCCATCATGCTTAACCACAAAATATCGATCCTGAAGATAGCTCCTGAGAAGATTCATGATATTGTCGGAGAGTCCAAATCGATATAACTTTTGCAGCAAAACACCATGGTCCACCCTGTCGAAGGTGTTGCTAAAATCCATGAATATTGTATCCAGTTGAACCTTATTTCCTAAGGAGTTATTTGCTTCGTTGATATATAATATCCAATTTATGTTGACAGATCTGTTGGACATAAACCTGTGCTGTTGCTCAACTAAGGCACCTTCTACAAAGCCGTACAATTTAGTATCGATTATCTGTTCAAATAGTTTGGAAGGAGCACACCAATTTTTTATATCACGTTTGTTTCCTGTTATGAACTGGTGTATGATTTAGTTATAGATGTTATTGAGAAGGTATTGTTAGTTACGTTCTGAAGACTTTTAAAAATTGTTTTATAACTGCTCTCATTGGTAGAGTACATACTGGCAAAGAACTCTGCGAAATACTGTGGTATATCTTTTTGTGGAATTTCCATGTCATTGTATATAAAAGTTTCGAGAGTGACTTCAATTTTCTTCTCACCTCTAGATAGAAAGTTTATGAAACATTAAAATTGAAAAAAGGTTTGAATATATTGAAAAATATTTCAAATTTTCACATTAGAATGGGATGAGATAAATCTGCTCACGCATCACAATGAAAGTACTTAAAACATTCATATTGTTATTTGATTTCAATGCCAGCCATAGGAACTTTCTTTGAATTGAAAAGGGGGGCATTTTTCAGGAGATAGTTTTAGGGAAAAAATCTTTTTGCCTTCCTACTTATCCATCTTGATTCAAAAAATATGGGAAATGTCCACCGCAGCAGTAGACGAAACGTCAGAAATAAAAACCTGCACACCACGGCCAGAAAACCCCTTAAATGGGAAAAAATAATAGGCTTGTTTACGGACTGTAGGTGTTTCTATGTCTTTTTTATATGCGCGCAACAGGCAAAGAATTAAAAAAAACATCCACTGGGTGGTACTCATCACTTTCTCCTTAAGCGGAACAAATCGGGCCGTTCCACGAGATAGGTTGAGACTTCATCAGTTCCCGTATCAACTGCCTTATGTTGGATCAATTATAAATAGAACTCGTTCTTCATAGTTCAAAAAAAAATTATCCAACCCTTTTACCACCTCAAAGACTGCCACAAGCTCCTATTTCTCGGGAGAATTGGGAATAAAAGTCGGAACGGTATCATAAGTGCCTAAAAAGTCATTGAAAGTGTTACGGTTTGACCGAGAAAGGAAGCGGTATAAAATGGAATATAATTTTCGAAAACTCACCTCACGTGCAAAACCCAAGGCAACCACGAGACGTTGAGTACAAATATACCGTAGACTAACCTCCATTATCAAAGCACATCCGGCCATCTCCTGAAATTCGCCGATTTGCAGTGGAATACTGAAGAATCCGTCAATAACGATAAGTAATAGGCACTATTCATCCAAACTTTTCAAAATCTACACACTCCCTGTCCCGTCGACTGGTGGAGGATCGAATAGACCCACGCCCCTTGACCCAACCTATCCCGTCGACCGAAATATATGAAATGGTTTTTCCCATGCAACTTTTTTTTACATAAAATCCCCAGACTCGGGCCACAATTGAAATAGTTCAAATCATCTAAAGGAACAATTCAGACCAGTCTCAACTCCCTACACTGTAGAATAATGGACTGACACCTAACATAAAACAACTACTCCCCTGGCTAGTACCACGAAGGGCGTTGGATTATATTCCACAAGTGTCAGTGCAGGATTCTTGACTGAAGTTAATCCTGCATATGCTGTAGGCAATACAACTGCTAAAATACCCACTGACTATATGTGTAATGAACAGAACAGAATAAATGAATTTATATGTGTGGGGATATTAAATACACATACACTTTCGCTTCGCTACCCTGATATTTTAAAACCTTCAAAAATTCCATTAAAAAACGTTACAATGTACGTAGATATGGCATTTCAGTTATGTAAGGGATTCAACAAGAAAGTTCTGGAACATTCAAGAAAAGTCTAGAATTTAAAATATTGTGGGTAATTACATTGGAAATATTTTGAAATCTACCTCAGCTCTGCCATAGTGAAAGAAATTATTGTGAACGTTTAAAAAAAACGGGGGAAATAATGAAACGTTGTTTCTTTAAATAAAACATTGGACCTTTAATAAAATTCACTCTTAAAACTAGGAACTTTTTTTGAACCTGAAACTATCCAGTTTCCTTTGTTTCTCCTTTTGTTTGTCAGTCTCAGAATCGGAATTTTTTCGTTTCTCGCCAGTCTGAAAAAAATTAAATTGAGAAAAATTAGATTATTTATGTTTTTACGATTGCCATTTTTGATTCTCTACAAGCATTTATTAGGTTGTTTCAAAAGTTTTGCCCGTTTTAATATCATGTGTTGTTATGTGTCAATACTTGAAATGATATGTTATATAAAACAATATAATAAAGGGATGCATTATTATCTAACAACAAGCAGTACTTATTACAACTCGCAACAAGAAAAATAAAATAAGAAACAACAGAAAAACTAATTGCTAACCAATAAATTCTCAACATGTCTACGGACTAAAGATCTAAATTTTGTGAGAGACATATTCCAATCAATATCTTGCAAGCGATTTATGTCGTTTGCTAGACGGAGCATGATTAAGAGAGGGCATGTGGAAGTAACAGTCACGAAGGGGGTCTTGAACGCAACCGGGCCAAACCACCACAGCAGAGTCCTATTGTGAGGAAATCAACGAAATATACCGAAAATTACGTCAGCAGCAGCCGGCACTGGTCAACTGAAGAGATCCTGTTCCACGACAACGCCCGTCCACACGTTTCAAAAATCACGGTCCGAAAATTAAACAAATTGGGCGTCTAAGTTGTGCCTCACCCACCATACTCCCCAGATCTCTCTCCAACCGACTACCATCTTTTCAAGCACGTCGATAACTTTATCACCGATAGAACCTTCACCAATCAGGACTAGGCAAAAACGGCCTTCATCGACTCCATCGAATCCTGAGTACCCAATTTTTATGCTGACGGAATTAATGGACTTGTGTTACGTTGGCAAAAGTGCACTGATTCAAATGACACTTATTTCAATTAAACTGTATAGATATTCACCGACAGATTACAATTTTCATGAGTAGACTCATAAAAACAGGCAAAACTTTTGAAACAATATAATAAATAATATTCATTTATAGTGAAATGCAAATCCAACTCACCTCTCCATTTTTAACTTTATTCTCTTTGGTTTCCTTTTCATAGGATAATCCAGCATATTTATCAGTTAAACTGAGTGGATTAGGGTCTTTGGCAACTTTGGATTTTTTCAAACTCTTCAAAAATGGATTCGGTTTCACTTCATCACGAAACAAAGATTCCTGAAAAACATTTTTATTATCAAAAAAACAAAAGAAGGTGTTAGAAAAGTTACTTGTGTATTCACAGAAGACTCGATAAGAGTAGTATTATTTGTTGCAGGACCTGGCGTTGATATTTCCTGAAACCATTGAAAATAATGAATTTATGAAGCCGGAAAAAACTATTTTCGACTTACTGTTTCCTGGGAAGTTTGCGATACATCTGGGGTATTTGAAACCTAGAATTATATCAATATTCAGAAACTGTTTCAAACCTGCTTCAGCCTATCCACTTTATTTTTGGGGGTATTTTTTGAAACACTCAAACTTAGTTTTCTATAAACCGGTTTCATTTTTGGCTCTTCTTCCATTGGAATTTCCTAGAAGCTAAAGTGTAAATGAAATGGAACACAGTGAATACATTATAATTTACTTTCACTCCCAAATCTTCGGTATCGTCTGCGATTTTTGTTGCCAAATCCATTAGTTTTTCAACTAGACGTCTTCTATCCAGTTTAGAGGCGTATTTCAAACTCAGTGCTATCAGTTGCGGATTAGATAAAACTTCCATAAACTCCAACGCTCTTTCATCTAAATTATTTCGACAAGCTAACTGAAAAAAAGAAAAATAACATGTGCTTTATCAAACTCATCAGGTGACTAGTTGATCAACTTTGTAAAACAAAAACTTCAAGGCTGAAGAATGTTCGGGCGATAAATAAATTAGGTCAACTTACTGCGAATGTTTTCATAGCCGTTTCCTTAAACTTCTTATCAACATCTGAAACCTGCAATGTAGACCACGTGAACAAATTCATTTCCATTTGTGTTTTTTCAGTCATAGACTCTGCGAAGGGTGGTTCTAATGGTATCTCGCACATAGTCGGTCTTGGCGTGAAGCTAGGATAGACGGAACCTTTGCATTTTATACCTCCTACGGCCTGATATGATTCAAAAACTGCCGTTACAAAGAAACCGTCAGCCAGACCTTTTCTCTGAAAAATTATTGAGGTAAGTAATTATAATTTAAAAAGTATAGCGCTGAATCGATGATAAAAGGAGATAGAAGAATCGTCATTTTTAAATACAAAAGTCGAATTTGTATTGACAACTTGGACAATTCCATGTGATTCATCTGTTGAGAAAAATGGAGTACTACAGAATAAGAGGTGTAGCACTGAAACTGATCCAATCCTATATGTCCAACTGTTCTCAAGTTGTTTGTATTGAAGATCAGAGCAGTACTTCCCAATGAATAGAAAAAAAAGTTCCTCAGGGATCAATCTTAGGGCCTATTCTCTTTATGATTTACATAAATGATTTACGAAATAATTTATGCCTTGATTTATCATGTGGAGATGTTGAATTCTGTAATTTTTTAGGTTAGATTAGTGTCTCTTGTACTGAGTAACCTTTCGATAAAAGCATTTTGTAGTAGTTGAAGATATTGACTTCATATTCTAGGGTTGTGAAACATTTGTCAGGAGCTTCAAAAAGATGTGTCACAAGATCCCCCTTTCCATTTAATTTTTTTTTTCAGATGGCGCCCTGTTGCCATCTTGAAAGTTTTATCTGTCAATTTTACTTCTAAATGAAGTATTTATGCATTAATTTCATTATCCCAAATTTCAATTTTTTGAGTTGACCCGTTTAAAAAATAAAAGGGGGGGACGTCAAAGAAAAGTTGGAGTACACTCCACATCCTGATCCTTCTTTGGCTTTTGAGCCATCTGTATATATGCGTATTGCATTTGTAGCATCTGACTCTGTGTTCTGTTTCATTTGTATTTTGTAGGGTTTATCAAACACAAACCTGGGTTTAATTGCATCACTTGCTGCCAGCAACAGAGGTTGCGCAGTAAGCGCTTCTCGTCATAGGCTCAGCCTCAATTGACCCATTCCTACTTCGAGGTTTACACCAGCCGTGCGCAATCGTAACATGACCATCAACGCAACCTCCTTAACGTACAGGTCCAGAGGGGCCAGGATAATACCCGAAGCTATTGAAATTTAAAAACGTCCCAACTGTCTCAACGAGATGATTCACAAATATTACATCATCAAGGAGATCATTACTATCACGCGAACATCTCACGCTTCTAAGTCACACACTCGTTCTCACTACAATTTAAATGCTCATTGTTCTAAATTCATATTGCAGTATAAGATCAAATTTACTGTTGCCTAAATTAGAAACAGAAGATGAGGAAGACCTAATATCGTCATCATCATCATAATCCTTATCAATACCAATAACTGTCTGCAAACATATCATATTTTTTATTATGAATATTTTTTACATGAATCATTGAATATTCCACACTCTTTTACTTTAATTTCTTCAATCGCAGAACCAAAAGGAATATTATTATTGTGATCAAGACCTCACTTCTCGTTTTACGTTTGTTTCTCCATTCATTCGACGAAAATATATAGGGTCAGTCATGTGGAGTGACTGAATTGGAATATGCTTGGTATTTTTTAAGAAAACAACCCACAATCCTTAAATTCTTCCCCAAATGAGTTGCATTTATACTCACTTTGGATACTTTTCAGATCGGGCCTGAAAAAGGAGTAACTCACCTTGCCACTGCTGCCATCATAAACGCTCTGTGGGACCTGTGGGGTAAATTGGTGAAGAAACCAGTATGGCAACTGTTGGCAGATNGAGAAGATCAAAAGAGCGTCTTCTGGCCGGTGGATACAGCCAGAAAATCGTCTTCTGGCTGGTGGATGCAGTCACGGGAAGAGACCTATTTCCCAAGCAATAAATTTGTGCTGCTTATATATCTGACGATGTTTTCCAAAGCCTGACTGCTGATCAGGTGCTCACTAGATCGAAGAAAATGTACAATGGTGTGTCAACCTTGGAGTGGATTATTCTGCCCAGGAAATTCAAGCCCTGGTAACAGAGTACAGGCTCTGTTCTGTCAAAACTATTTTTCGGGTTCATTGACCATGGTCTACAGGCTTGTGCCTAAGTCTACAACGGCGGTAGTAATGATAATGTCTATCGGTGGTATCATGCAGACCAATTCCATCAAACCCAGAATATAGCATTGACAAAGTATGATTGTGTTTTGCCTTTTATGTACAATATATTTTGAATGACCGAATACTTGAGTAGATGAGCAAAGCGAGTTCTGGCACAAAATCCCATGTATTTTCTTATGGAGCTAAACTTTTTGCAATTTTCGTTACATCCGAGCGGAACCTTGTCGAACACCCAACTCGAGGTAGGTGTGTTTTGGAGAGTGGGAGAGAGAAACGTGCGACGTAATCGATGCAGAGAAGGATGGAACGTCATTGTCATGAAGAAGATAGGGAAATTTCCATCTCTATGCATCGATTACGTCACACGTGTCTCTCTCACTCCTACAGACACACACCTTTATATGAAACATCAATTCTTCCCCAAATTTAAGGATATTTCCCTATCTTCTTCATGACAATGAGTCAATTTCATTCCCGACAAAACAACCGCTATAAATATCAACAATTCGCAATTACTACCAATATTCCACGTTGGTATCGAGGCTAAGGACAACGTTTGCCACGCCGACGACCTGAGTTCGATTCTCATACCGCCAAACTTTTTTTATTAGGACCACGTGACTGAAACGTGACAAGGGGGCCCGAGGGGTGAGGCGGAGTCCGAAGGGGGTTCACGCTCTTTGAATCTCTACGATACTCATTCCATCCTTCTCTACATCGATTACGTCACAAGTTTCTTTCTCCCACTCCGAAACACACCTACCTCGAGTTGGATGTTCCACAAAGTTCCGCTCGGATGTCACGAAAATTGCAAAAAGTTTAGCTCCATAAGAAAATGCATGGGATTTTGTGCCAGAACTCGCCTTGCTCATCTACTCTTAATTTTACCACAAATATCTATTTGTTCATTTAGATGGTCGACGCCAACCAAGTATGGGAGGTACAAGAAGCCATCGACTGGATGAACCAGTTGGCGCAATTCAAACCCCTCTGGATAGAAGAACCCACTTCTCCTGATGACGTATTAGGGCACGCCGAAATCGGTAAAGCTCTGAAACCACTAGGAATCAGCATAGCTTCTGGGGAGATGTGCTGCAACAGGGTGTTGTTCAAGCAGTTCTTACAGGCCGATGCCATTCAGTACTGTCAAATTGACTCTGCTAGGATAGGGGGAGTAAACGAAATTCTGTCAGTCTACCTGATGGCCAAAAAATTAGGAGGTGGGTATATTTGGATGTTAATGAAAAGAAAACTATTCTGTTACAACCTTCTACTTGAATATAGGATAAAGAAAATAGCTTTTGTCAAATTTCTATAATTTTGATATGTTCTCAGATAAGGTATTGATATTCAAGGTAACATTTTTGTTATTTCAGGTACCTATTGCAGGTACCAAAAAATTATCAACCAACTAGAAAATGAATATAAAAATTTCAAACTCATATAAAGAACTAAAAGTTATTTTGATTAATATAAATTTACTGTTAGTTTTTTTTTATAATCTACTTTGTATAAAGACTTAGGAATTCCAAATAATTTCGATATGCAGATCAATAGTTTTCATTTAAATGTCCATTGTTCACTTTCTTCAATCGCTTTTAATATTTTCAAAGAATATATTACAAAATTTAGAGTTACTCTGTCGATTCGATTTTCTCAACATTCCTATATTGCAGTGTCAGCAAACATTTTAGTTTTTCCAAGTACAAAATCAGCTAGTGAATCAATATGAGATTCTCAATGATAAAGTTTTGTGTGATTATCACTCCCATCAATGCAATGATTTTTGTTTTAAATATGAAATGACTCACCTAGAATTTCCAACAACAAGGGCTGCTTTACTCAGAGATGCCATCGTGTATTCCTGATAATTTTGCATCATCATGCTGTTATGAAAGGTGGAATCGTGAAACTCGACTTCAATCGACTTTGAGCTAGATTCATCTCCATTATTTCCGTAACACCTGATGATGCCTACGTGATTCCAGCAAAGATAACGAGGATCCAAGTGGTCCGGAGTGGATGATGGCATAAAGGGCGGCTGCAGTGGAATTTCGGGAGTACGTGGTCTCGGCGATGGTGCATGAGACGACTCTGTTACAAAAAATTAGTATGCTCACGCTCACTTGGAAAAAGTTTTACACAAAGTCAGATTGTCCCTATGGACATACTGAAGGATTTATGTTAATACTTGGGGTTTAGGTCCCAAACAAATCCATTGGATTTATATGATGATTGTCAGACCAATGATCCTTCTAGATCTACCTCCTCTCCACATATTTCTGGAGAGGCTAGATGGACTACATATAGACTAGTTGACATTGCCAATTGCAAAAACCAATTTAATGCAGAGTGCAACAGACTGTTGGTTGACATTGGAAGTCACAGTATTCTGGAATTGACCTCTGACTTTATGCCTCCCACTGTCAACTACGAACTGCCTTATAAAGTACTGTTCCTGAGTAGAGAGGACGGATCCTCTGGGAGAAGGAAATATTAAGAGCAGTGTCGAATAGACCCACTCATTTTGGACCTAACTTAACCCAACCTAATGCTGGTATTATTCATCATATGTTACTACAACAGTAAAAACATGTCACTCACCAGTTTCCAGTTTCTTCAATTCATCATCTGAATCTCCCATGTATTGCTTCTTGAGTTTTTCAACAGAAACAACATTTTCATTATCTTCGTCGTCATCTTCTTCAAACTGGATACCAGTAAAATCAACATCATTGTCTGCGAAAGCATCATCTTCAGCTGGTGCCGAACCAGCTTCATTTTGTGCAATACATTTTATTGACTTTGTTATGATGCCCAACTGGCCTTCTACGTCTGTGTAAATTATTTCTCCGTTTCCTTGCAAAAGATAAATATTGAAGCAACACTTGACAAGTCAAATTTGATATTACCTTTCGGATTCCACATCAATCCACAAACTGCAACTGACTTTTCATGTTTGCTCACAATTGATACATCCTGAGAAGCTGTGTCCCAAATCACAAAATCGCCCTCGCTTGATGTAGCTAAAATATATTTTCCGCATGGAGAATACTGCACAATCGAATATGGTGCAGACACTTCTCCGCAAGACAATGTAGCATCAACTGACCAATCTTCAACATTCAGAATAATGACGGTATTATTATTGGGGTATGCTAGTTTCTTTCCTTTCCTCGATTCAAAGTCAATTCGACCTACAATACAGAAATTACGATAAATGGCAAGTTTTGTTATCCAGATTCAAACAATATTGCAAAATTGTTTTCTTGTAAGTATCAAAACTGTTATTTTAGGTGCCGTCATCTGCAACTTTGTTCATTTAAAACATCTAATTTGATGCTTCATAAATAAATTATTGTGGACAAAACTTTAAGTTTCTTTAGCTGTTATCATTTCAACCTTTGCTTTATAGATAGATAGACATACACTTTATTGTTCATAAAAATACAATATTATTGACAAAGTTTGTTAAAACATTTGGTATGTATAGCACTTCAAAGAATAAAAACACAAATACCCAGAATCACAATTCGAGCAAAACTAGGTTCACATATCTAATAGATAAAATAAAACAACAACAAATGAAATTTAACAAAGTTTGTAGACAAAATAGTTTGTATAGTCCCTTTAAAAAAGATGTAGAGAACAAATATATACAATTTGAACATAAGTTCACATGTCATGGTAATAAAATAAAATATATCCCAGTATAACATATAATTTAAAGTATAGGTATCAATATGAACAACAAAAAAAAAACACATATATTAAATCACAGAAAAGTTCCATTGTAATATTCATCAAGATTGTAGTACGCTTTTGTTGCAAGGGCATATTTAACAAGATTTCTGAACTTTTTATAGCTTTTTTCCTTCCTAATTTCGTAAGATATGTGATTATACAGCTTTTTACTTTCATAAATTAAAGAATACTTTGTCTGACTTGTTTTTGGAACAGGAAGATGTATTTTATTTTCTTGTTACTTGCCGGGTTATGTAATTTATATGTTCCTGAGTTCCAACCGTATTATGTTTTTTGTAAATCAGGCAAACAGTTTTCAGTAAGAAAATACAAGTAACAGTGACAATTTTTTCTCTTAAAAATAATGGTCTGCATAACTCACGCACTCCCACCTTGCATAAGTATCTAACCGCTCGCTTTTGCAAAACAAACACTGAATCAAAAAGTTGTTGACTGCAAAATCCCCGGAAGGAAACATCATATCTCAGGTGGGACTCAAATCAGGGAATGATGATATACCATTTTTGTTGTGAACTCAGTTGATTTGAACTATTCGAAGTGCATAACATCCTGATGCTAATTTTTTATTCACAACTGAAATATATTGATCAAATTTTAATTTGTTACCCATGAAGATTCCCAGGAATTTCGATTGGTTTTTATCTCAAGAATTTGTCCATTCGAGTATAAATTATTAATATTACAGCTGTAGGTGAGTAGGTTTGTTTTTTTAATATTAAAGCACAAGTAGTTTGTGTCACACCATTTTTTCACAACTTCTAAATCACTAGAGATAGTTTCTTTCACATTAGAAATATTTTTTCCATGCCAAAGGAGCCGTGGTGTCATCCGCAAAGATCTTAAAAATTTCTTGAATTGAGAGAGTAACAAGGTCATTTACATAAATAAGGAAAAGAATCGGGCCCAGTACTGATCCTTGTGGAACGCCCCAGGATATGTCCTGAGTGTGTGATAGTTTTTCGTTTGATCTCACTAACTGTTTTTTATCACTCAAGTAAGACCTGAACCAGTCATTACACACTCCTCTAAAGCCATAGTAGTTCAAATTTTGCAAAAGAAGTTCATGATTTACACAATCAAAAGCTTTGGAGAAATCACAGAATACTGCAGCTATGGCCTCACCATTGTTGAGATGTGTGTAGACATGTTCAAGAAAGGAAAAGATTGCTTCATTTGTGTCTTTTGCCTTCTGAAAACTAAATTGACAGTTGGTTAATATATTGTATTCATAAAGAAGAACTAATAAATTCCCTTTTTTTCACCAGTTTTTCTATGATTTTTGAGAGCATGAAGATAGGTCTGAAATTATTTGGATCTTCTGCATTACCGCCTTTGAAAATAGGATTTACAAGAGCTGTTTTTAGACACGGAGGGAAATTTCCAAGCAAAAAGGATTTATTTATAGCCATCACTAGTGTATTCAAAGCGGAATTGGGAAGGTTATTTGAAATTTTTACTGAAATTTCGTCAATGCCCGTTGCACTTTTGTTTCTTAATTAGAATTGTTTTTATCCTTGTTTAGCATTAATGTATTTTTTTTTAAATAAGAATAACGATTTTTATTTCCCTAAGAAACATACATATTTATAGTAGGAAGAAAAACAGTAATTCAAAACAGTAACATAACTAAGTACGAACAGAGCTACCAAAAAAGTATACCTAATAAATCAGAACTGAAACTGATAAAAATAGATGATTGAATATACTTTCGATAGTCTTAAAAGTAACTGAGTTGGATTCTTAGAAATATTTTGAAATTTCTATTGACACTGGACAATGGAAAACTATTCAATAAAAAATAACTATAAACTTGCAGGTATACATACATAGTAACTTGGCATTTGAGAAACTATTCACTTTTGGGAAACAACTAATTTCTTTCAGCAAGGTACTAGTGTCGATATCCCAAACTCTTAGCTTGGAATCTCCAGATGCGGCAGCAATCATTTTTGACTTCGAATTCAATGCCACGCTCAAACAAGGTCCCGAAAGTCCTTCAAACTTTTTGCATTCTTTATCAGTTCTGCCGAGATCTATCAACTTGACTTCCATATCCTCACCAGCCAGTGCTATCAGCTGAAAAGACGGCATTATTAAATAACCTCAACTCTGTAGAACTATTTATAAAAACTAATAATACGTCGTTTTGTGAACCTTTCATAGTGAAAATCAAAATAAATGTTATTAATAAGTTTTGATTTGTATTTTCATCAAGTATCGGTCAGTTCCATCCAATTTATGATGAAATAAAATATTATTGAATACTTAGTTAGCAAAATACAAATTTTTGTCACCTGGGTGTCCTTTTCCACGGCAATATGATTGATCGGAGCGACAAATCTATCGAGTACCCCATCTCGATCGCCTTCGGGTAGTGCCAGAATTTGAATATCATTGCTACCCGTAGCAACATATAACTTGTCGTCTTTTTGGCGAATACATAAGGCCCATTCGCCGACACAATTGTGGATAGGATCTTCCCCTTCGTCGCACGACCATATTCTGATGTCCCCATCTGCTCCGCATGTTATGAATTTGCTAAAATATGAAATCACTTGAGTGACTGACTTTTTGAATATTTGAAATTTACCTTCCGTCTTCTGAATAGCAAACGTCCGTGTGTCCTTCATCATGTGCGTATCTAAGGGGTTCATGTTCCATTGACATTACTGTCGTATCAAAAAATTGTAAAAACAAATATTTTTTAAGATTACTTTTATTTACAAAAATAATTTACGAATGTGAGGTTGACAATTAAAAACCCGGGAAATTCAATGGGAATGACATGTTTTCCTCTTCTTCCAGTAATTCAATTTGGTCCAAAATTCAAACTTTCAGACATTCAAACACAAAAAGTTTATACATTGGAAGGATAGCCAATTTTTCCCAACACTATCAAAACGATTCGAACTATATGCGTCTTTTTTCATTAAATGTGATTCGAACTTTCAATATCTAGAAATACTAACATACCTGAAATCTACGACTAGGGATTTCATTCAGATAAAAAAATTATAATCCAAAATATTGGTACATGCCAGTGAAAAAAAAAATTAATAGATAATAAAGTCCAATTCTTGAAAAATATTTGTTAATGAAATAGAAATGAAGTCTAATAACATTCAACAAGAAGTCAATCACATTGAGTAATCATTCAAAGTGTGTTTCATATATAACCCTTGAATGAAAAATGCGGTGAAAACGAAAAGCAGTTTTGCAAATGAAATTTTCAAATTACTGAAAATTATTTATAAGTATCGCTTTGTGGGTGACGTGATACAATAATAATAAAAGAAAAACAATATCTAATTTTTATAGATTCTGATTCATCTGAAAAAATATTTTTTAAGAGTCGATTTATTATAATAAATTCCAAGTATATAGTGAAAGAAATGTTCCAGAATTTTATTTTCAGCAAAATTTAATGTGATAAATAAATCAGTATTTCACAAAATTTTTTGAATAAATGGATATAAAAAAAGATGTTCATCTTTCAGTTATGAGACATGAACGAGCCATCAATACAAATATATTAATTTTTAACAGAGATATAGTTTTGATTAGAAAAGAGCCGATGATAGTGAACAATGAAAATGGAAAAATGCCATAAGAATACATATATTATCTAATGGAAAACAAAGCCAGCACCGCTGATGACGCCATTTCAAAAAATGATGAAAAACATCCTACAACTCGGTCCGTTTAGGGTACTCCGTGACTATAATTTCATCAATGAATGTTCTACTGTTCTGTGTTTACCCCGTGACCGTATCTTTTAACTTGGCCTTGAAGTGATGTTAATTATAAAATATGTATGACAAAATGGTTACCAATGTTATTGTTTGTGGTTGATCTATTTTTGTGTGAACTAGGTTTTTCATAGTGAATGTAAATAATATTAAAATGAATAGTAGTTGGAGAGCAGTTAATGATGAAAACAGTTATGGAGTAGGTAAGCGACCTAGTTGAAATGAATTATTTTAAAGTACTTATCTATACTTTTTCTCGAAAATATGTATTTTCTGAAAAACTTATTTACAGTTATCACAAAAATCTAATTCAATTTGTCATATCTAGTGATAGTCTAACAAATATTCGACCCCTCCTATTTTGAATTCGCACTTCCTTCAGGAAAATTAAAAGCCCCAATATGATTCATAAATATTATCTATGCCCTGGTTCAATTCTACCACTTGTAATAATTTGTCTGATTGATTACAGATCACGTCTGCTAAATTGAAATTAACGAAGGTTAACCAATGTTTATTTTAGGGCATGAATGAAGTAACAAGTAGTACTCACATTTTTAAAAGTTGACCTCATGACGTCACACATGACATCACACAATGTATTATTTTGAGTTAAATTGAGCATACTTCCCTCATTATGTTTCATATTTTCTCATTAAAGTAATCAGTGCAAAAATTTAATTTACATTCTGGGCTGGACTGCAATGTTTGATGGTTTATTGAAGAATTTAGTGTTTTAAATGATGATGGATATGTTGAAAATCTAGTTTTGCATTTTATTTTTCAGAAATATTTTTGTAAATGTTGGATTTATATAGAGTATAGACGGTGTTTGAAATAATAATAATTCCTATTTACTTGCTCTTGATTGATGGGAGTGACTTGTGAGAGACAACTCCCAAACAGCTTCCCTGTGTCTATTTTGCCGGTAACGGTACATTTATGACTACCGGGACTGCCTTCATTTAGGTTTAGTTCATTTGTAATTTCTTTAATTTTCTTGTTCTGTGTTGCCTTTGTGATTCGTCTTTCTATTTCCCTCTTTTTTTGCTTCTGCTCAATCGATGGAATAGTGGGAGTTTAATATTGGTAGAATTTGAAAAACTCTCAATGGTGTTATCAGCAATTCATTTATGTTTGTCAAAAACTATTGACGCGAGAAATGAAATTGATTCAACTAACACTCGTTGATAAATAGCGAAGGAATCGAGATTCATCGAACGTGTTTTGCTCAGATCTTCAATTTATGAACCATAATGTAACAAATAGACTTCCACCTAATATCAATTCATTCCCGATTGTAAACAACTTTGAAAATTGAAGTGTCAACTTGACATCGTCAAATAGGGTCACTTGAGAGGTACTCACCCCCTCTGTGAATAGAATGCTGAAATGTATTGGATCTCTATTGTTCCTTCATCAAGAGTGCCAAGGGTCAAAAGTTTTTGACGAAGTATTTAACTTGGAGAAGGGTTACAAGTGAACGCACTAGGGATATTCTATGCATCTTGTATACTCACTCTCTCTGTGACTAGAATGCTGACATAATGATGATAATTTCTGTCACGTGTATATTTTTTTCCTGAACGGAACACCGGTGTCTCGTTAATACCGTAAAAGTTCCGTATATGGTAACAAAAGGTTTGTTCTGTTTCTAAACAGACCGAAATAGTCTGACTCGGACGCCTCAGACACTTGGTTAAACCAGAACGCATTTTGAGGAGACTACTGTGCCACCTCACCTATCGTATATATGAAGAGATGAAGACGAGAAAATACTGTTGGTCATGCCCGTATGTAACGTATCTTTTTAGTCAGTTCAAATGTTATCTAACGTCAATCATCAATTATTTAAATCAAATAAATGAAAAACATCCTAGAAAATAGCCCAAACAAATTTCCACGTAAATGCTCATGAGCAACGGAAACAGTAATCAGCTGTTCAGCCTCGAGAGCAAGAACGATTCGGGACGTTGCAAGACCGTTTAGGATCATTTCGCAGTCGAAACCAGAACAGAGGATTCATCAATCCGAACTTATCCTCAATAAACCAGAACGCTCTATATCAACCGCGCATGATCCTGACGTCCTAAAACCTGAATTTCGTAGAACCAGAACAAACCTGTAGAACCAGAACAAACCTAAAGCACTCTTGAGGTCGACGGTAAGTGCGTAAGGAGCTCAGGAACCTCTTTATCCATCACGCGACTACAGTAGACTAACCTCTTGAAGACACTATCCTGGCAGACCATGGTAAACACCCTAGTTTCCGACTTAGCCCACTTGACCTGGGGAAAGAACACTCCAAGTACTTTGATGATAAGCGGAGGTCTTTAATGCTGAAAACCTGATCCCAAACACAACGCATTTTCTCATATATGCTGGTTGATCGGGAGCCAGTCCTATTCATTTGGCCGCTCACTCTGACTGCCGGTTTCAGCTTCATCTGACAGTTTTGATGATCAGATCTGTCTGAGTTTGTGCTGATACTTGCCACAAATGATTAGTCGACAATGATTAGTCGCGATCCTTTGTTTGCAGGCATGTTAGGCGTACACATTCTCGAACCATCAGTCCATCCTTTCGTAACTGTGTCGTGAGTGTCATACCTAAGTTTCGTTCAAATAGAAAATTTGTTTTCTATAAATCTTTGATGTTTGTTTATTATTTTAAATCTGAATCCTAGTTTTTTTATTCAATTCTGAAGAGTTTTGTCACAGCAGCTCACGTTATGGCCGGAAATATTCAATTTCTTCCTTATGATTTCAGTTGTAGGAATCTCATTGCTTTTGTAACAGTCGTATATTGTTTTTTCAGTGATTTTGTTAGATGAACATCTAAAGGTTTTGGTAATCCTGTATCACATCGCGTCTTGCGGTCATAAGGTTTGTTTTTGACTATTTTACGTACAGTTGAGAAAGGAATTTCGGTCAAATCTGATGTTGCTTGTAATAGTTTGTTTCCCTCAAAACTAAACTTGAGATGTAGATTCTTATATACATTGAAACATACTCTCTGTGTTTCAATATTCAAATGCATCCGAATCTTATTCACTGGTATCTCTTTTTCGCATTGTTTACCATCGTTATTGGAATCACTACACTGGAAAAAGCCTGCGTTGTTATCACACTCGTTATTATTATTATTACTAGTCGAAGGACGCCATATTTCAAACATATAACAAAAATTTCAAGTAATTATAACTGCACCAATATCGAATTTCAACACTCAAATCACGATCAGTTCCTGAACTGAACATTGATGAAACGACGACGATAACCATCCCCGCATTCCCCAATTTCTATTCGTCACCGTAACATGACTTCAGCCAATTATAATTAGTAAAAATTATCCAATACGAACCGCCAATTCTATAGTCCACGTGGACTAGTTCGCAACCAGTTCATTTCTATGTATTGGTTTTTTGGCCTTTGAGAGTGCCGCCAACTTTAAGTGTGCACATTATCGTTTATTTCGACTATAATTGATTAATATAAAAACGTAAGAAACATTCGAATACTAGAAACCGTGAAATGAAAGAAGTACCTAACATCTTGAGAATAACAGTTCGATTTTGTAAGAGCTTTTGACACAGTTACAGAATAGAGTATCATAGTTTACTGTGTAACCTTAGAAAACCTTATATAGATAAAATAAAACAGTAGATATGTGAATTCAAATGATGCCTTTCAAGTGATTCAAAAATAATTCAATATGGTGTTCCACAAGAAACTGTTATAGGTTCATTTTTGTTCAATATAATGAATTATTTATTGAAATTATATACTTGAGGAAAAATTCACCTATTCATAGATTAAACGACAATTATCTAAATGCCTTGAGAACAAAAGTAACCTTCAGAGTTTTGGCCCGTCGCAAATAACTGATGAAATGAAAATATTAGAAGGAAATGTTGTAAAATACTTAGGAATTGAAATTGATCCAAATGAAACAAATATAAAAATGTTGAAAAGGTGGAAAAGTTGAGAATTCTACTACCTAAATTCAAAATTTTGAAACAATTTTGCTGCATTCTTCATTAATTCAAACCCTGTTCAGTTTTGCCAATTTAGATTGGGGTGATGTGAGAAAAAATTACTTTGAAAAAATTATATATGGAATTTGAAAACAGATGTCAGTTGTATAAAGAACAAGCAGTTTTTGGGAAAGAAAGTTTTTGGCTTTCTACTACTCCATCTGATACAAAAAAATGGATGAGAGAATCTTCCAAAGAAAGGAAGGAAGTAATCAATTTGAAAATAAGTAACTCTATACATGGATGTGTAGATCATGCAAAGAAGTTACTTTCAGACACAAACTGACAGAAAGTCCTTCTGAAACAGCTACTTTCATACAAACATTGAATTACACGAAAGAAAAAAAAATTCTTTCGAAACAAATACTTCTATATGTACACTGAATTATATAGAAGATACTTCTCTCTACTCAGTTTGTATTTCAAACATTCGTTGTGGAATAAGAATCAGATATCATTCACATGAGTTCTACACATCCATGTATAGAGTTACTTATTTTCAAATTGATTACTTCCTTCCTTTCTTTGGAAGATTCTTTCATCCATTTTTTTGTATCAGATGGAGTAGTAGAAAGCCAAAAACTTTCTTTCCCAAAAATTAATCACTCCTAAAAATATATCCCTTTCAAATCAAACAAGCAGTTATTTGCATAGCTGCGAAAATTGAACTTCGCCTTTTACTATAACTTTATATATGTAGTTATAACTTAATATTGTTATTTTTTTTGTGTGGTTGTAGTAATAAAGACGATTATTATTATTATTATTAATTAAAAGGATACACTATTTCAAAATATTATTTCTGTGACCAGAAATGTATAGTAGAAAGTGATTTCACTAGATGAAAACCTAATTTATTGAAAGATACTTCAGTACTCCCTCATGCCTTTTTTGATCTTCTTTCTTGCATTTGCAGCAATTTATAATTTCAACCACCCAGAAGACTTCAAATTGAAATTGACTGTCGGAGATGCCGTCCACATTTTGGAGGAGGAAACCAACTGGTATTATGGCTACATCATCAACAACAGAAATATTACGGGTATATTTCCCAAAAGCTATGTGCACGTGAAACAGTGCGAAAGAGTTGACGCTACCGGACCCATCTTAAAAGATCCCCCCATTACCAGAGAAATCACGTCGGTGCTCAGGGAATGGGGGGAACATTGGAAACAATTATATAAGGTGAGAGGTGTTGATGATTTCTACAATGTTTTGTCAAACATGTAGTTTATGATAAAAGGTACAACTGGAACCTATGGCGTAGAATAAATCCAAAACAAGCTATTTTCTTAATCACCAGAAATGCAGTATTCTTCTCTTCATAGCAAGTAACTTCTCATATGAGGCAAGGATTTGGAATGAGAGACAAAGGTTTAGTATTTTTACCAGAACTTGGTCATATCTTATGCACCACTCTGAAAATATTCATTATTCTCACTCCCACCCCACAGTATGTATTTGTGGAGTTGCTTCCGGATTTTGTCTGCAGGTGGCGCAGTGGTACTTCCTACTGAATCAACTGCAGATAGAGCTTATGTCTAGTTGGAAATAATTTTGTTTGTTAGGGATACTCAAGACGGTTCACTCAGTCTGAAATGACCTGCTCGGTACTGACGAGGGGCAAGTACCCCGAAACCGGTCTATCGGTGGTTGTCCCGACCAAATAAAATTAATTTCTACTTTACATATACAGAAAGTTACTTGCAAAGATGCCTGATGGTTTTACTTCAGCTTTCTGTGCGGCTTTAGCAGGGTTTGTTGTTGTTTTTCCATCGGGCAACTGTCTCACTTACCTACAAAGTCGTATATTCATATGAGAGGCAAGGGGTAAGGTGTTTTTCACCTGAACTTGGGCATGTCATATATTGTTAGGGACGACCCTGCCTGATGATAATAATTGGGAAGATGATTTGATGCACTTGACTTTCTCTCACAGTGGAGCATAACATTTTCAGAATTGGATTATTTTACTGAGATGTCATCTGTAATTTCATAAGAAGTCTTAGATCGTTCTGCAGCAAATTCTAAACATTTGCTTCTAGCTCAGCCTTAATATTCTCTCAACTCATCTTTGCCTGCACTTTATTCCAGTGCCATCTCTTGATCCTATTCTAAAACCTCCAGTTTTAGGTACTGCTCGAAACAGCATTTCTTCTGAATATGCAATTAAACCTAATCATCTCTTACACCACATTGATTATTGTTGATTACTGCCACGTATTTGTAGTGTTTTTTATATTTGTCGTTATTCGACAATTTGAATAAAAGGTTGTACCTGCTATTTCATCACTGTTATAATTTATTACGCCTACAATTTTATTCATCACTTTTGTAAAGTGCAAGAGTGAGAATGGATTCTGTCCAATCTTGTATCCTATTCACAAACTTGTATTTTTCATAACCTATTACATAATATTTCTGACAGTTAACTCATTTATTTTTATAATTGAAACTCATCCTTCATGTTTCCTTTTGACAGTTGGCAGAATGTTGCAAAAGAATTATTGAGTAAATTCTTGATTCCTTATTGATTTCAAATTTCTTTGGACTTTCAACCTTATATTTTTTTCATATTGAAAATAACGTTATGAATGTTGAAAGAATGTTGTTGATGTGGCATTATGTGAGTGAGTGTGAGTTTTGGTCGGTATATATGTTTACCTTATTTTCAATGTTAATTTAGCTTTTCATAAATTCTGAGACGACTGACTCATTGTATTTTCTCCTAATGTTGACTAAGTTATAGGCATAGACGTGAGTCATGAAACTAATGTCCTGTGGTTTTGCTAGTAGGTCGGAAGATAATATATTTTCCTAGTTTTCATCCAATTTCAATATAAAATACAAAAAGAAAATTGCCATTTGTGAAGGACACCTGTTCCTTTTGCTGCTGTTGAGGTTCTGGATGTGATTGATATTGACAATCAGTTGTTCACATAAACAGTCTGCCTTTACTTTTTATTCAAATAACTAAGATCTTATTTTTTGGGTATCAACATCATCGACTTCCTTTTGTCGAGGTGTTCTGTGGGTAGGCAATGTTGATAACTCCCCGAGCCACCTAGGAAGCATCGTGATAATTCGCAGTACATCAGTCACGTAACGTTGCAGAATCATCTAAACTTCAACTGGATGAATTATCTCCAGAGAAATATCTGGTCGAGGTGAACTGAAATGTAAAATTTGTATATGGACTGCCTTAAAATAAAACTGAAAAATATAGTCCAATTCCTTCGAATCCATCCTCAAACACTTTGTTCAATTTGCTAACCTTTTAGATTGTAGTAGTAGTAGTAGTAGTATCTTTATTCATCATTAAAGCAATCTACAGATCTTTGCAGTTGAACACATAAAATGCTTATCAGACTAGTCAAATATGGATTTACATACTAGTTTATTTCAGAATCATAATGATAATTTCGAACCAATCAAGAACAAAATATATGATCTACTAACTCACCGAAGCAAAATATTGAGCGGGACGTTACCCGTGGATGAATTGAAACGGGTTACCAAACAGTCTGCCGAAGAAATCGACATAGGAAATAAAATACTGGGTTTGGATTTGGTGGTCAGGAACCAGAACGGAAATTTAATCAATCCGGAAGAAACGAGTACTCTTCAGCTGTTTTACCATCACAAAAATGCCACAGAACGGATGAAAAACAAGTTCAAGGTAGGTGAAAAGGTGTGAAAAAAACATGGGCGCTTTGTGCCATATTTTTTGTATATCAATCGCCGCGCGTCGCTTCGTTCACAATAATACTAATATTTTTCGTTCGTTATTGTTTTAAGCTTATTTAGAAAAACAAATGTTACCTTTCAATTCGATGTTCTTTAAAAGCGTGTTTTTTTAGTTTTTCAAACTATATTTATTTTTAATAAGTTTGTCAACATGTATGTCAATATTTCTATGTAAATTTGACGTTGAAAAATTGCCAAATTTTATAATTACAAAGGAATTTAAAGGTATTCTTGAGATGTGATGGCATATAATCTGAAATTTACAAAAACTCCCATTTAATTTGTGTTCAAACCATTTTATAATTATGAAAAAGTCATCCAAGTTCAATCTTTCTCTTGAAGATGATCAGTTGGTGATTGAAACACGTGTCGAGGTGTTAAAAATACCGCTTTGGTGTCAGGATAGAATTCCAGTATAATTCATCCAATTTGATTTTGTACTTTGAAAATTTCGAAGGGTTTAAACCTCCCCTATAGGCTTTGGACAACCGCCTGTAATAGTTTTATTTGCTTAAAAGGAAATTATTCGAGAGCCTGAGAGTAAAGCAGCGTATTTTACTTGTTTAACAAATTTTGGTGTTATTATTGGAACATTTCATGAATCCATAAGATTGATGGATACTAATTATCTTTGTTTCTTTCTAGGAGGAGGTCAAAGACATCCAACCAAAAACCGCAATACAGCAGTTTTCCAATATATTTTTAGTAGCAGTTAGAAACTTTACATTTAAAATGACAGATGATGCTGAGTTACTTATGACTTTATACGATGCTAAGGAGCTCAAAGCTTTCACAGAAAACTATGTCGTTCGGTGGACAAAAGAAGGACTGATGAGTGACTTGGATCAAATGCATAATTTGAGGGTTATGTTCACCGTGAGTATGATAAACTTTACTGTTGTAGTTCTACAGTGTCATCCCCAAAGTATGCACCATATGGAAAACTTCTTTATTAAGGGTTTTTCGACAAAAAGTTATTCTTGATAAAAGTGTGTGCATCCCCTAAAACTAAACCTGCACCCACAAAATACAGTAAAACATACATACATAATATATGAGGAGCCTTCAAATATTTGATTTTGAGACAAGAGTAAAGTAACGTACTCTAAAAACACTCTATTGTATGATTTTCACTAGACAGTTTTACAAAAACGCAACACGTGTTTCGCCACAATATGATTCCATCATATATCTTGAGAGTAAAGTACTCTTATTTTGAAAAATCTCGGGAAATGTTATTTGGAAAAGTTGTTCAGCATTGAAAAATACATCTAGATTTGAAGTCATGGCCATCTAAGTGAAGTTTTATTTTTTTACCAATTTTTTTTAAATGAGCACTAGGAAAAAAAATTGCTAAAACGATAAATAGATAGCATCCTGTATAAGACGGTTTATTTTAAAAGCCTGTAATATTACGAATTACACAACTATGGTGTTAACCAGGGTCAATTTTCTAAGTTTTTGGTGCAAAATTACTCAAAATTATACAGTATTGTAACAAGAACTTAATATTCAATAATATCAAATCACAAAACATCAAAATAAAATAGGTATTTCGGAACAAACTCGTTGATTTTCTGGAGATTTTCTTGTCCAAAATAATTCTCCAATGAGATCTTATTAAGTGTGTTTTTGATTATTTAAATGTAGAGAATTTTCCTTAAACCAGATGTTCATTTTTTGCAGGATTAAATTACCTTTGGTTTGTAGATTTTATCTGATATACTCAACCAGTGATGTGTCATATAGTGTAGATATGGATTCCATATTATTCACATGTAATAATATGTGAATATATCACATATAATAATATGTGAATAATAATATAATTTTTTTCAATTTCAAAATCAAGTAAAACTAATTTGTGTATATCAATGAAATATACTGGTTTGACAGGATTTGGGCAAAAAAGACTTGGACAGAGAAAAAATATATTTGGTGTGTCAAGTGATACGAGTAGGTGCAATGGACATCAAAGAGTTGGACCACAGGAGGAGTTCTATAAGTCCCCCAACGAAAAAAAATTACAGTGATAATATGAGGAGACCTTGTGGGGTGGCCGCTTTCGATATAACGGATTATATGAATGGCAAATCGGATACTGATTTGGAGAGGGAATTTGCCATACCATTTGTTAGGTTAGATATATTGTTTCGTTATTTTAATAGCAAAATAATATGTATCTCTGTTGAAAAAATGCTTTGATTTATAATTTTCTATGTTCCAGTTGTGAAAAAGATAATCTAGAGCAGACCTTGAGAAAGATAATTACAAAAGAAAAATTTGAAAACAAGAATCATTCTCTGTTTGTTAATTTCAAGTTGTTACGAGGAGATTTGAAACAAGTAAGTGGTGAAATATTTTAATGGCTCATTTTTAGCTGGCTCATCGCGAATTCGTTTTTTTTTTATAGATAAGTATGAATTTTGTAGGTACGAGAAGAAAACCCACATTTAGTTTTGGGTAACGTGTCCATCGCAAGAAAAATGGGTTTTCCAGAAGTTATTTTACCAGGTGATGTCAGAAATGATCTTTACTTAACGTTGCTCGGTGGTGAATTTACCAAAGGGAGCAAAACTAGTGATAAGAATGTTGAGGCCATCGTGAAAGTGTGCAATGAAAAGGGGCAAGCCATTCCTGTAAGTAGAGTTGAATTGTGTATTATCATTTGATGGATCTAAAAATGGTTGTCTCGAAATTTTTATTAAAAAATTCGATCCCAGATAATATCAATCTGTTGTCCATTCAAATTCACTTGTATTTTTGTATGATTGAAATTTCAGTGGATGTCATAAGGGGACATCTTAAGTATACCAAGTAGATGAGAGCAAAGGCGCCATCTATGAGATCGATGGGGAACTCGATCCTCGAATATCAAAGACGTCTACCGCCACTTTCTTGAGTGCTATGTCTGATTATCGTATGTCTATATCAAGACATACGATAACCTTCGTATTTGTATCATTTCCTGGACCCGGATGTCACGCAGATAGGTATAGCTGCCTCAGTAGTGATTCGATAACCTTGCCATCGGAAAACGAACCACATGTTTCTAGAAATGATATGAAATCGAAAAAGATTAATGCAGTTAAGCTGCTGGAAAATAATTCCATGAAAATCAAAAGATAAATATAGATAAGTACTATTCTGATCATTCCCACATTGATTTCAACTCAAGAGCCTCCGGCAAACAGCCTTTTCAGGTCACTTCGTAACGCACTTTCAACTAGACTTCCTAATCTGCCTGTTGGTAATGTTTATATATCGTAATGGAAGTCACTGAAAGCTGATAGGGAAGTCTCTCGAAGCGACATGACATTTAGAACGATCGAGAAGCGCAAGTCGAGTTGAGTGCGACCTTGGCCAAGTCACAGTCGTTTGACGAAAACCAGTGGCGGCCGATGTAACTTTTTTTTTTCAGGGGAGAATTTACAACTGTATTATTATTAGTTGTGCATCATATTTATATGCATGATCTACACATTCATGTATAGAGTTTCAAATTGATTACTTCCTTCCTTTCTTTGGAAGATTCTCTCATCCCCTTTTTTTTGTATCAGATGGAGTAGTAGAAAGCCAAAAACTTTCTTTTTCTTTTTTCTTTCGTGTAACTAAATGTTTATATGAGAGTAGTTGTTCCAACTACTTTTTGTTCCAATTTGCCTCTGAAAGTTACTTATTCGCATGGTGTACACATCTTTGTGAAGAGTTCATTTTGAAATTGATTGTTTTTTTTCTTCGGAAGTTCCCTACATATTTCGTATTAAGATGAATGAGAAGAAAGCTAAAACCTTCCTTTCCGAAGAACATTCAAATTTTAATGGAGAATTAATTATCCATTTGTCATTTTCGGTCATTTATAACTGTTTTTTCAGCAAAGGGAGTTGAGGAGACTGAATTTCATTTATGTAACATTCGCTCATATCCAACCAGATTGTGAAACTTTTCAGAAAATGGGATTATCAGGACTTCGGTATATATATTAAACAGGAAAACAACAAGTAACTGTGAAACAAAGTATATATTCATTACAAAAAAGTTCTTGAGATAATAAGAACGAAAGTGAAGCTATAGTCATCTCATTTTCATAATAAAAACGAACAAATTGCGACCCCCCAAATTTGAAAAGCGTCTATAGCATCTCGAAGAATATTTAGGAGAGAATGACATTCCCGAGTTGAATAACATAGCAAAACAGACTGGATCATTATAATCACATAAAGATGTTAGTGTTTGATTAGATACATGTTTCCTTTCTATGCTGTTTCTTTCTACTGTATATATTTTATTTTCTTCTTAAAACTTTTCAGTCATATAATTTTTCAGTAATTTTGAAAGTATTGGCCCAGAACGTTTTTTAAAAAAGTAACAGACTCATGAAAATACAGCCTCTTGAAATTTCCTGATTTTTTTGATACCAGAAAGATCTGAAACACAAAAAACCCAAAAACTCATAAAATTTTCAAATCACTATCATGTTTCCTTCTTGAAAAAATGGAAAAAACATCTGCGTATTGACCACAGATGAACTAGTGACCTAACTACCTACGAAGAAATTGTTGGAAATTCTGAAAGTATGCGAAATATAAAGAACTTGTGATATAATTTACTCTCATATCAAAGAAACATCTCCTCGTGCAATTCGTTTTAATTATAAGAACATAGGGAGCAAAATAAACCAACATTCCTTTCTTAACTGGATCGTTATCGGAATTTAATGAACATAATAATGAAGTAAACGATAAAGTATGTACGGTGTTATTCAGTTGCATGCAGTCAGGCATTAAATTTTTCCATTTCCTTTCCTGAAAATTAAATCATAGCGTGCCGAACAAGTGGCTCTCTTTAGCCATATTGTGCTTGGAACAATGGTATTACGCAACAATTAATATCACGAGGAAGCCCCATTGTTTAATGGAATTTGGTAGTTGATAGTAGGTTGCATATATTGGTGTTCCTGATGTATTGTTTCGTGTCAAAATTGCAAAGTTAATGAATTTTATCATTCACGTTTAGATTAGTAAATTTTGTAAATTCAAATGTCACGAAAACTCATAATGCCATCATCACGAACTGTGGAGAAAAATTAATTTCAGTATGTTACAACTGTGAATCATGTCAATAATAATTCCATTATTTTTTATCATTCACCTACAATCTTGCATATTAATTGATTTCTATAATTTTGTCATAGTTCAAACACTATAATATTTGAACATTTCCCAATTGTCTTAGGTGGGATCATTCAATAAAAGGCGTAATAAGTGCATTGGTACGTAATTCTGAAATTTCAGTTTTTTTCAGATTATCTATAAGTGACGAATGGAAGTCGGTAAATATAACGAACACACGATATTATATGTTTCAATTATTCATTTGAAAAGACGAAAATTAAATAATTATGAGATTTCATAAAATGAAACAAAATGACGGGGTTCCAAATGAATGACAAGTGTACATAATTGTTGTTCTACTTCTTCAATAAGATGTATTGCCTCCTGTAGCCCTTCTGCAAGATTCCACCCTTCCACCCATACTGTCGGTAAAGTTATTGATAACATGCTGAGGAACATTGTTCCATTTTTCCAAAATAGCATTACGAAGCTGTTCTAAGCTGTCAGGTGGATCATTTCTGGTACTCAACCTACTTGAAATGTAACTCCGAACATGCCCTATCGGATTCATCCTTGCAATTCCTTCTTCCTCCAGAGCGTTTTGCACAGCCAGTGTTCGATGTGGTCGTGCATTATCATCCATAAGTACGAAAGCATTACGTATGGCGCCTCGGAACAGTCGCACCACATCCAAAATGACATTTTGAAGGTGAAATTGCCCCGTTTTTGCTTTAGGTACAATTATCAGTGATGTTCGTGTTCCATAGATGATACCACTCCACACCATAATGCTCCCAAGTTGATTTGGATTGATATTCCATGTCAAATGCAGTCGATGCTGACGTCGTGTTGGTATCCAAACACGAATGCGGTAGTCATCATTCATAAGCCCAAAACAACTCGCATGGGAAAATATAGTATTTCGCCACTGATATTGGTTCTATTGTGAATGGGTTCTTGTCCAGTTCAACGTCTCTGTCTTTGTGCGTCATTTATTCTCGGTGCCCACAAAAAGCCTACATGATAAACCACCACTACGACCACGCCTACGTACGACTTGACAAATTGATGCCATATGTTCTTTGGAAATGTCTGTTTCGAAGGGGTTCCTGTGTGTAACAGGTATCGATCCTGACGTTGTGTTGTCCGTCTTCTTCGACCGCTTCGGTGTATTTCGTGAACATGACCACATTCTGTAAATTTCGAAATTACCCTAGAAACCCCGTGTTAGGAATCACAAGTTAAAAGGTAGGACCTCGTTAATCCTTATCTCGCACAAGTTTCGACTTCTGAGGGTTGTCGTTCGTAGGGGTGCGATAGCTGGTTAACGGAAAAACAGATTTTAAATAGAAAACAGAACCGTGCTCTGGATGAAACCTAGTTTTCTTGTTATATGCCATTGGATCCATCCTTGCTCGTTCAAAATTACAATCGTCATACGATCTTCTTCAGATAAACGTGCACCAGGCATAAAACATGAATAATTGAATAGATTCGGGAAGCTGAATACACTCTTTGAATGAGTGAATCGAAAAGGTTTTGTATGAAAGTGTATAATTATAAAATCATTATTTTGAATTTTTTGAGGTTATGATTTCAAGAAAAATTGTTTATGATTACTTTCTTGTCAGGCAACAAGAAGTATCAAAAACGAGGACATAATACATTTGTAATATTTGATTTATATAGAACTCAATAGCCCAATAACCAACGAAATACATTTTATAGATTGATGCTATGTGGTTCAGACAAATTATTATATGAAAGAAGAGCAACTTGAGACAGAATGTGTCAAGTCAAGTGTAATATTGAAAATAATAATACCATGTCATATTGAAAATAATAATACCAACTTGAGGAGTGATCCATTATGGATTTTAATTTTTTTTTTGTGGAGAAGCAAATATAGAATAATGTATTTTGATAATGAATTTCAATTAATTAAATTACAATGAAGGGGAAGGAAACTTCTGTTTAAGTTTTCTCGAGTATTCTCCAGTTAAACAAGTCCAGTCTGAGGAAATTTTGGTTATCAATTTCTTGTAAAATTTTGGAATTCCTATTGGGTTGTGATTGTGAAATTGAATGTGGTGTCCAAATGCAGATTTTTCAGGTATATTTAAATGTTCATTATTGCGAGTGATGAGAGGTTTACAAGTTCTACCAATGCAAGATGGAGAACAATCAGAGCAGTCAAGCTTATAGACTCGATTTCTATGTAACTTGTTAATTTTGTCTTTTGAATTCACTAGAAAGTTGTTTCAGTTATTTTGAGATTAAAATGAAATTTTTATACCAGGTATAGTATTTCCAAATTTATAGAAAATGCATTTCTCTTTCGTATATCCCTCTTTTTTTTTTCTCCAGCCTGTGACAAGTATCGGTTTCTACTCCTACAAAAGGTTATAATTTATGATGTTTATTGAACATTCTGCGAAGGAAGTTGATACAAAGAAATTTAACATTTTGTAATGTTCAATTTTTTCGTTATCGTATGGTAGTATAGTATAGTTTCGGATTCGTATAAATTGTTACAGGCACGCCTTTTAATTAAAGTGTACTAGGTTGGTCTGAAGTTCATACAGTTCAGATGTATGCACGTATCTCATCCAAGAATGGAGTGTACAGTTGTAATCTGCTGATACGCGCAAGTTTCAAATACAATGACACCACTGTCATCAAACACTGCGACGGTTTATAACCATTCAACTGTTTCTGTGTATTCTTCGAATTCTCGACTGCAATTCTGTACCCGTTTCATGTTACAGTTACTTTTCTTTATGGATGTCGAATGTACAGGGTAAGAGACAAGTAAAAAATATTTTTCTCGTCAGGAACAATCGTCTTGCACCTATGATGGTTTTCCTCATTGAGAGGCACTCTTAATAAAGCGGTGTCTGTTATGTGAAAACTTGATTATTTTCAAGTACAGACCTCTAGTTTTTTTATAGATTTGTATAGCAACTGTAATAACAAATCCAGCTATGTGTCACAACACAGGTCCGTATTGAAAAATAAGATTGATGATGAAATCTACTGAAACAAACGTCGCATTGCCAATTGTTTCTCATCAGATTGTGAAAATTATGGAACAGTATTGAAAGTTTCTAGTCCTCTTCTTCAAATCATTCGTAATGGAAACGGTAGAACCAAAAAATGAAATTCGACAATTCAAGTATTTGGTGAACATTTCACAAAGAATCACTAATATTTTCGAGATTATTCTAGTTTCCCAAAATAGGAAACTTTTGTCCAATTTAACCGACCTTGTAGGTCTTACCGTTATCGAGATAGCATCAGCTATGTGATTAGCTAAAAAAATGACATGTATACATTACTGAATGTCAATATTACGCTAAATGCACACACACCGATTTTGGACGGCATATTTAATACCGGTCGTCCAAATTCCAATAGTGATCCACATGTGGGTACGGGACCTGGCACACACGCCGACCGGTGATCGGCGTCGATCACCAGTAGGTATGTGTGCAAGGTCCCGTTCCTACATGTGGTTCGCTATTGGAATTTGGACGCCCGGTATAAAATCGGCCGTCCACAATCGGTGTGTGTGCAATTAGCCTTACCCAAACCTCACGCATTCATTTCATAATTTCAGTCCACATCTATTGAAAACACGTTTCCATGAATTTTCAATAGATTTCACGTCAGAGGTTCCAAATTCAACTTATCCAGTACAGTTAACATAATTGAAATCTCACCTACGGTAATGTTTAAACACCATCATACATGTATATAAACAATTAGATATTGAATGTTTCAAACCAAAAATAGAAGCATTCCAACTCATTGAATATGATTTCACTTTGTAAGGAATTGAGCGCATAATATTGCTTCACTTCCACTGGTAGTTTTTTTCGTATGTTATTCGTATTCTGTAACAGAGTAATGCAATTAGAGAAATCAGTATGACTTTGGCACAGTTTAAAGAATGAAGAAACCAGAAAAAAAATTGGTCAACGGAAAGGACATAAATTATGTTTGGATGTGAATTATAATTTACAATAAATGGTGTAAGTGACTATTTGTTTTTCTTTATTTTGTTTTATTTTGTAAACTGTTCAGTGAAAATCTCAAAATGAAGTATTTCTTGAATATACAGTGTCATCCTTAAAGTATGCACTATATGGGAAACTTATTTATTAAGGGGTTTTCGACAAAAAGTTATTCTTGATAAAAGTTTGTGCATNTGTATAGAATAAAATTATTGGAGAATAAAACAAAACAAAGTGATGTGGTACTGTCTAAATTATATATAAGTAAACTGTGGTGAAATAAAATAAAATAAAATGCAATGCACAATAAATAACATGCAGTTTCATCAATGATTTATGAAAAGTTTCAGTGGAACCATAATTGACATGTTGATTTTCAGACTTACACCCAATTGTTGTGATTGATCTAGATTTGACGTCATGGCCATCTGAGTGAAGTTTTATTTTTTTACCATTTTTTTAAAATGGGGACTACGAAAACAAATTTGCTAAAACGATGAATAGAATAGCCTGTAATATTACGAATTACCCAACTATGGTGTTAACAACAGTCAATTTGTTTGAAGAGTGAAATAATTTTCAATGTTTTTGTTGCAAAGTCGTTTTTATTTTTTGTTAACACCAAAAATTACTCAAAATTATACAGTATTGTAACAAGAACTCAATATTCAATAACATATGGTGCATACTTTGGGGGTGACACTGTATATTAATTTTCTCCGCTTCAATTCAATGTAAGCCTCACCTTATTCTTACATACGGATATACTAACAGATAAACTTGCAGATTCAGCGCATTTATCATTAATATAAATAAAAAATGAAAATGCGAAAAAAACATTTTTTTGATGCTTGTAGATAATACTTTCGAAACTGTGAATACCATTTTATTGTGAGATTTTCACAAGCTACTGTATAGTGGAACACGTGTTGCGGTTTTGTGAACTGTTTGGTGAAAATCCCACAGTGAAGTGTTGTCATGGATTTTCATCAAGTATCGACCAATTACATCATATATATCGATACGTACTTTCGTGGAAAATATCTTCCCCGCACTCTATACTATATGCCTATATTCCTCGTCGTATAATTCAGGCATTGCCTGAAGGAAATGTCCATGTCAAATATGTCATCTGAGCATTCCATTTTTCTGACATTCATTTGTCAAGGAAATGAATGAGGTAACCAACTGCATATCCGAAATTTGCCCAATTCCTCGTATAAGAAATGAAAACTTTTCACATATAGTCAGTGGGCATACTTGACGACTGGCTATAAATCAAATCATCTAGAAGAACACTTATACCTGTCAGATATAATCGAACGGTCTTCGTGGTATTAGCCAGGGGAGTAGTTGTTTTCCGATAGGTGTCAGTTCATTAGCTAACAGTGTAGGAAGTTGAGACTGGATTGAACGAATTGTTCCTTTAGATGATTTCATTTATAGCCAGTCTTCAAGTATGCCCACTAACTATATGTGAGAAGATTTTTCAGTGGCTTATAATAGACAATAACTTTTCTGAATGAACTTTTGAGACTCTGTAGATTCTCTATTTATTCAACTCTGTTTATTTTTTGAATTGTGGAAGTTTAAGTGAGTGAGCCACACAAAATTCCATTATTATCTGGAAAACATTCAATTATTTCGATTTACTGTTGACCATTAAGTAAATATAATGCCGAAATTTGCATTTTCATGCATCAATATACAAAACATATTCATTAACATGGATCATTTTGCAAAATTTCATAGTTCAAATCTGGTTATTGAGGATATTTTTACATTTATTACGCCCAATATATTTTATTGACTTTACTGAAATGAAACAATTCTGGATGTGCATTATCAAATACAAATGATTTCTGTTTGTTACAGAACGAAAGCTGTTCGTTGGAATGCTCAGCAAAAAACTGTGCGAGAATGACGTGCGTTCTCTGTTCAGCAGTTACGGGACAATCGAGGAGTGTACCGTTCTTAGGGACCCAACCGGAAATTCTCGCGGCTGCGCATTCGTAACTTTTGCCTCCAAGCAGTCAGCCTTAAGTGCCATCAAAGGTGAGTTATTCAGAGTCATTCCTTCAAAAATGTCTTCGAAAGATATCGCTGCATAGATGTTTCCCAAAATATTTTCCCCTATTTCATTATTCAATGTGAATATATGAAAAAGAATTCTAGATCTTATGAAACACTGAAATATCTAGGTTGAACCACAGGATTCAAGATTTTGCTTTTGCAACATTTTTTGCTTGTGCTACAAGCAATCGAATTGCAGCTGGAAAAGAAGAGAGAAACCCTGTCAACTTCAACACTAATTTATGACTTCAACAAGGATTTTAACAGATGTAAGTCATTACCATAAGAAAATTGGGAATTCGAAATAAATAATACTTGCCCTCGTGTGAATTCAGTAAACTGTATATTTCGGGCAAAAAGCTTTTGCATCATTTCTTGCTCGTGCAACAGGCAGTTGGATTTCAGCTGAAAAAGAGAGGGGAAACTCTGTTGACTTTGAAATTAGTTCATGACGCCAACAAGGAGTTGAACACTTTGAAGACCTACAAGCAATTACATAAGGAGTATTGGGAATTCGAAATGAACAATACTTCCCATGTTGTCAATTCAACAAGCTGTATACTTCAGGAAAGAACATTTTTTTACTTGTGCTACAAGCAATTGGATTCCAGTTGAAAAAAAGAGAGAAACCCTGTCAACCTCAAGATTAATTTAAGACTTTAACAAAGATTTTGAAGACGTACAAGTCACTACGTGTTGAGTACTCCGAAATAAACAACATTCCTGCTGTGAATTTAGCAAACTGTATATTTTGCAACATTTCTTGCTCGTACAACAAGCAATCGGATTCAAGCTGAGAAAGAAGAAACACTGCCTGTTTACAATGAAATTAATTTATGACGTCAACAAGAATTTGAACAATTTGAAGACGTACAAGTCATTACATAAGGAGTACTGGGAATTAAAAATGAACGATACGCCTCTGCTGTTAATTCAACATACTGTATACTTCAGGGAAAAACATTTTGCAACATTTTTTGCTTGTGCTACAAGCAATAAGTTTCTGACAGGGAAGAGAGAAACCCTGTCAACAAGATAATGAATTTATGATGTCAACAAAAATATCATCACTTTCAAGACGTTTAAATCTTCTGTTGTTAAGTTAGCAAACTGTTTACTTTAGAAAAACAATATTTTGAAACATTTTCTGCTCATGTAACATGCAATTGGATTTCAGCTGAAAAAAGGGGAGAGAAACCCTGTTGGACATGAAATTAGTTCATGACGTCAACAAGGATTTGAACGCTTTGAAGACGTACGAGCCATTACATAAGGGGTATTGGAAATTCGAAATAAACAATACTATTTTGTTGTCAATTCAGCAAGCTGTACACTTGAGGAAAAAAGATTTTGCAGCATTTTTGGCTTATGCTACAAGCAATCGTATCCCAGCTGAAAAAGAAGAGAGAAACCATGTCAACTTTAACATTAATTTAATACTCTAACAAAGATTTTGCAGACGTACGAGTCACTACGTAAAGAATACTCCAAAATAAAGAATACTCCTATTGTGTAAATTTCGCAAACTCTATGTTTCAGAAGAAAACATTTTGCAACATTTCTTGCTCGTGCAACAAGCAATCGGATTCCCGCTAAAAAAGAAGAAAGAAACCCTGTTTACCATGAAATCAATTCATGACGTCAACAAGAATTTGAACAATTTGAAGACGCACAAGTCATTATATAAGAAGTACTGGGAATTAAAAATTAACGATACCACCCTGCTGCCAATTCAGCAAACTGTATACTTCAGGGAAAAAGATTTTGCAACATTTTTTGCTTGTGCCACAAGCAATCAGATTCTCTGACAGAGAAGATATAAAAACTGTCAACCAGATAATGAATTTATGATGTAAACAAATATTTGAACACTTTTGTAATGACGTTCAAGTCATTACACAAGGAGTTTTGGGAATTGAAAATGAACAATTCTCCCTCTTTTGTCAAGTTATCAAACTGTTAACATGAGAAAAAATTATTGACCAAAATTTTTGCTTATGCTACGAGCAATCAAAGTTCAGCGGAAGTAGAAGAGAGAAATCCTGTCAACTACAACATCAATTCAATGAGTATTTTAACACTCTGAAGACGTATTGAGGAGTATTGGGAATTCGAAATGAAAATACTTCCGCTGTAGTCAATTTAGCAAGCTGTATACTGCAGGAAAATTATTTTGTAACATTTTCTGTTTGTGCTTCAAGCAATCTGATTCCAGGTGAAAGAAGAGGAGAGACGCGCTCTTTCAACTACAACATCGATTAATGACGTCAACACAGATTTGAACAATTTGAAGACGTACAAGTCATTACATGGGGAGTACTGGGAATTCAAAATGAACAATACTCCTCCTGATTGCAATTCAGCAAACTAGAGACGTGTACTCTGTATATATTTATGTTATAACCTTCAATGTGTGTATTTCAGTTGCTGTTTTCATATCATTTCTTCATTTCTTGAATTGCAAATGATTTAGAGAAGATTTTTTTGTCGAGTATCATGCAGTGTCTTCAGTTATCATTTTCAATGTGAAATTAAAGTGAAAACTTACTTATTGAAAGAGACTCTAGGATTAAGAGCCTGAATTATTGTGCTGAAAATTAGTAAATCTGTCACCACGATTTCAACCATTTTATAACATGGTAGAAACAAACAAGGAAATATATAAATATTGAAGTTAATGTAAAACATCAGTAACCAAATTTCGAAATTCAAAAGTAAAATACAAAAATCAGCTTGTATTATTCCACATAATTAAAAGAATCTTTGTTGAACAATTATGTTGGTAACCAATATAATTGAGAGTCCAATTTGAGTAGGTGGCAACCAAGTGTCCCAGTTCAAAATGTACAAGATGGACCTCAAAATATAGTCATGGGCACCCTATTATTTATCTTGTACATAAATGAAGTAGTGAAGTGTTTTTTTGCGGATGACAATACCTATATCTAATGAGACGTTCGAAATTTAATGACATATTTCTGAATCCATCATTGAAGAAAGCAGAATACTGTATATGTGAAAGTTTAATGATTATTTAGAGATTCTAATATAAAGCCGTTTCATTAATAGAATGCGGAGTAAGAAAGAACTATTTTTCTCCCTAAAATTTATGTGAAGTGCCATAGTTATGACTTGGTAGTATTTGTGAAGTATTTTAATCAAATGTCTTCTTAATATTTTCCCAGTTTCTATTCCTTTTATACTATAGAATTTTCCATTTTAGCGATATTTTTATGTTCAACCTTCTACTGTAATTTCCACCTGGAAGTTGTTCTACCTTCATTTATTTCGTGAATAACAACAGACAAGGCATGCTCGTTAAAATAACTAATTATTTCTAACGGGCTTCAAAAATATTTACAGAATAATGAATTGTTTTTCGATAGGAATTCTGAACCTTCATTTAACTGTCTCTGTTTCAAAATGTATTGATGATTAATTACAGGAGGTATTGAGTCTGGAAATCCAACCTATGAAAAATGTATTGGTCTGAGAATAAGAATCTAGGAATATTACAGGTGTATACCGGAAAGTTTCGAACATTCAAATCTTTTGGAATGCAATTGAATGCTTGAGTTTGGCTTACTAGTTCTCAGAATGAATTATTGTTTATTTATTTCAGTGTTGATTTCAAATATTCATGTAATACATTCTTTGGTTAAATTATATGCTATCAATTCATCGTCTAGTTATATTTTAGTGCATTAAAGTGTAGGGCTGGAAAACTCAGTCAAATTCTTATCCATCTCCTGATGATGCTAACTTGGTGTAGAAAACGGTACTCTTAATCTGGTGGTAGAAAAAAGTTTACTCGTTGGTTAGTAGGTCCACTAGATAGAGTGACATTTTGTTGTTCGCTCCAACTTAGGAAGAGGAATGAAATACTCTGAAAGAACTCTGATTTTCAATAATGGAATATAATTGACTATAGGTTGATGATGGCCACTATATTGCACTGACGAGTGGCTAATGAGCCCGAAACCGGTCTGCAAGTGTGCCCGTTCCAAAATTGAAGGTCGACTCTTTCAGTTGTATTGCCAATTGCATATGCAGAAAATTTTCTGTGAAGATTCCTGCACTGACGCCTGTCGAATATAATGCAATGCCCTTGGTGGTATTAGCCAGGGGAGTAGTTGTTTTCTGATAGACGTCGGTTCATTCAACCTGCTATGTAGGTATATCCGAGACTGGCTTGAACTTCGAAAGTTCATTTCCTAAGATTCCAAATATAATTACTCATTGAAAACTCCTTTTCAAAAACATGGGTTGTATAACTGAATATGGTAACGTTTCGAAATTCACATAGGAAAACAAATTCCAAAAAATTATTTATTTTCTGAATTGAAGTTCTCCAGTGAAATCGAATGAAATGAATTCGAAACAAATCAACATCTCTTGGGATCACCAACATTTTCAGGAATATGAAAAAAAATATAATGACACTTTTCAAAAGACTCAATTTTGGTAATGTGAAGAATGCTATTGAACACAAAAATCATGGAAATTATAGCAACTCCTCATAGGGAAATAACCTAGGAGTTTACATCGTTAACTAGGCTTATTCGGAGTCAATGAGACCAAGAAAATTCGGGATCAATGAGACCGAGATCAGGTTTCCTATAAAATCAGCAAATATAATAACTAAATATTTTCATACGAGAAAAACAACTTTTTCAATTTTTATCTGTATTTATGTTACACCACCTACATAATCTTATTTTTTTTGAGATGGCTTTTCTGAGGGAATCACAATATGGAAAGCAATAATTGGCATTCCATTGAATAAAAATGGTACACAATGATTCTACTGGGCATTCTGTATATCGGAGGATATTTCAGAAAAATACAATGCATTGATATATGAAACTTTTATACGAAATATTTTTTATAACTCCAGTCCTTCATCTCAAACTTCTAATGGGACTCATGATTTCTTGTAGAATCAGAGTAAGCACCAAAAAAATGCACTAACATGAATTCATCCAGAATAACACTAGATGATTTCAAAGACGTTGCTTTCCCACTTCTGAAGATTTTTCATATTTTTGAGATATTCTTGAAAAAATCATGTCGTTTAGTCGATTTTTCAATAATTTTTTGAACATTGAAATACAAAAAACACAATACCCAATGAAGTTACACTTGTGCAGCTAACAATGCAAATGTCTTATGTAGTTGACAGAATGTTTCTGAGGAATGTTAGAGGTTCGACCTTCTCTTGCCAAAAAATCTGTGAGGAATAAAAAAAATTAATGAAATACCAAAACAACTAAGGATACCAACACCGGAATATTTGGTGTAGTCCGTTAAAATGTAGTCAACCACATGTGTAGTTTGATTAACTCACTCAATCGACCGCTGTGTGAACCGGTGGTTCGAACCGCATGGTTCTTCAAACCTGTGTTACGAATGACACATTAGAAGGTAAAACCTCTTTAGTCCTTTAGTTTCGACTTCTGAAAGTTGTCCTTCGTAGGGATGCGACAGCTATTTGACGGAAAACAATAGGTAAAATATCAATAATATACAAATGATGAAGGATGCAAAATAATGAAAAAGATGAAACCAAGCAACTTCGCAACGTTTGGATTTTTGTTATCCGTAATCATCTTAGTCTGAGACTAATCAGCAGGTGTCTCAGACTCGACACAATTCGTAGCAGTTTCATAAAAACCAAGTCAATAATCTCGGACAGCGACTCCAAGAGTTGTATGCGGAAGTCGTATTTCTCTGAATCCAAGACGTCGTTGAAAGTACATATAGGCAACCTCAAGAGAAACTCCTAACAGGAATCATACACAGTGAACAAAACTGTTGAAAAAAGTTCAAAAAGCATGTTGAAACGTCTGAGGAAGTGAAAAATCCAAAGGAGAGAGGGGAGAGTGGAAAGCGCCAAAGTGATAAATAGTCTCATCAGAGTAACAAGAATAGACCAATTGTCACTTGAAGGAGATACTTAAAATCGAAACCTGTCCTGTAGTGCTCGTGTTTTCTCCTTAAAAAAAGTAGCATAATTTGAAATATATTTCTTATTTTCAATTTTCATATATTTTTTTCTTTCATTCATATTAACCCATCTATCAAATTTTTATCATAAGCTACAGTAATTTAGTTTTCTCACAAATTAACTCGATAATAATTCTGAATGTTTCATTTACTATTCATCTTTTTTAAATTATTATACTGTCCTGTACATACTTTAAATACTCATAACATTCCATTCATTTTCTATTTAATTTTTTTTGTATATTTCAAATCCGTTACCACCTTTTCGAACAATGGAAGTTTGAACTTCCAACTTTCATGTTGAATATCTGTTCATTACAGCAAATGTTCAATGTCCAAGAGGCCACAGTTGTGGTTGCCACTCCTCATTATATCTAAAAGCAAAAAATTGTTTCATGCTGAATTTAGTGAAATCGGAAATTGTATTCGATGTTTATAAAAGCTCATTTGTAAATCCGATATCAGTGATTCTCATCAACTTATAGTTTGAAGTTAGTAAAATATATATTGGTTAGGGCAATTTTGGTGTGTTATACGCAACATTTTTCCATCGTGGCCCAGATGAAATTCCCAAGCAGAATAGCCAAATATATTTTAATTGCCTCTAGAAACTGTTTATACATCCATCTTTTGAATACTTTCTTTGTTTCAGGTCTCCACCAATCACAAACAATGGAGGGATGCTCTGCGCCCCTTGTAGTCAAATTCGCCGACACACAAAAAGAGAAAGAACTGAAAAGACAGCAGCAAATGCAGGCCAACGTATGGAACGCTTTGGCCGCCCCGACGCTGGCTTCACCGCCGCAGCAGTACTCCCCCGTTATGCCCAACGAGGCGACCTCCTTACAGCTCCTACAGGCGATGGGCGGCGCGGGGCTACTGCAGCAGCAATTCCTTTCCGGTACTGAGAGTTTGTTAGCGCCGATAGGCGTGCAAAATCTGGTAACCTTGGCGGCCATGTCGCAACCAGCGACGGCCGCGACCACGCCGTTGTGCATGGCCAACTTGTTAGGGAAAGGTGCGGGGGTTGAGAGGACACTAACCGCGAGTTTGCCGCCGGGTCTGTCAACGCCTGATCTGTCGACATACGGATCGCTCATCACCAGCGCGACCATCAACGCGGCGGCCCTCGCGGCAGCGGGAAAACAGATTGAGGGTGAGTTGATATTTTTATGATTTCTGTAGCATGATTGTGAGCAAACTGCCATATTTTCGTTTCGAGAGAAATTTAATTCAGAGTTGACAAGTTCCAAAAACTTGAAAAACTGGTAACGGATGCTTTTTTATTTCAGGGAAGTACTATACTAACCTGTGAAGTGATAAAAGGGCCTCAACCCATTTTTTATTAGATATTGGCTAGAGTTTTTATATAGTCTACATATATTACAAACTCAATATCGAAAACGTTGAATTTTGCCGTTTTCATAGAGCAGTGTGCTGAAGAACTATTTCACTTATTTTCAACGCAGGATATGTGTGGTTTTCGTATGCACTCCAAAGATGTCATCTAAATTATTGAATTTGTTGTCTATGGAATTACCAATCTTCCTTCTATAATTTCAGTACGTCAAAAACCAATATTTTTTTTTAATTTGGTTACATACTGTATTATTCAATAAAAAGTTTATTTATGATAGTGATTAGGTAATTGAAATCCTCAGTTCTCTTTCAATCCATGATGGTAATGTGTTCATCAATTATACCCGTGTGGATTAATCATTGAGTAATACAGAATCACATGCAACATCCGAACTCTGAGCATAAACGTCGATTATTATTACCAACACCAGACAAAAACGAGTAAACTGTAAACGTATAGTACATAATCTAGTAGGCAACATTTTACTATAAGATTTGCACTGAACAGTTCACGAAATCACAACACGTATTTTACTATACACTAGCTTCCTCGGGTGTGTTCATAATAAATAGTAACTGTTACTAGTTCTTATATAGTGAAACACGTATTGAGCTTTTGTAAAATGTGGGGTGAAAATCTCATAATAACAGTTCACAAAAACACAACAGTGGAACCTACATAATAACTTTTTTGGGAGCTGTTGAGTTTTGAGGAGTAGTTGAGGATTATTCTATAATGAAACACGTGTACCGGTTTTGTTAACTGTTCATTGAAAATCTCACTATAAACTATTATTTGACTGCGTTACGGATTTTCATCAAGTATCGTCCAATTTCATTCATCATTTCGTCCGCACTCTATACTATATGCCTATATTTCTCTTCGTATAATTCAGGCATTGCCTGAAGGAAATGTCCACGTCAAACATTACATGATGTGAAACCAAATGTGCCTTTGCAATCAATCCCTTCTCAAGTTAATCTTCAGTAAAGATAAGATAATAGATAGAACAGAACAGACCCAATGAAAGTAATAGGAATTAGGGCCTGAAAACCTCTCGGACCTAAGTATAATTGCATTCACCTACTTTTTCAGTTAGTATTAACCTTGAAAAGACAGCTGTTGGATTTTCAGATATTCTACTCATAAATTTGTGAGATATTGTGCTGAGAATGACACTACTTTCGTTATTTTCAAAACAATGGATCGAAAACAATTACGTGTTTAATTGGAACAACTTCCAGAACATTATCAACCAAAATAACTTCACACAAAAGTTATATAAAATTGAACAACAATAAAAATTAATTGGCGCTCCGGGGCGACGAATTTTCTTTACTTTTTTCCACAGATTACCATGGGTAGTTTATTTATTAAATTTCAATGAAAAATGTATACAGAAACCTCTAGAAAAATTTAAGATCTCAAAAAAAGGCTCTTTAGGAATAAGTCGATATCTGGACGACAATAGATAAAAAATAGTGTGGTTTGTCTACGGCTTCATTTATGAAAGAAACAGTATTGATCTAGTCTTGATCGTCTCCTGATGATGCTTAGCAAAACGCGCGTTGATAGACATTTTTTTGTAAAACATTTTTCTAATACTCAATACCATCGATTGAATGATTTATGATTGGTTTTTCTTTATAAAGAGAAATGTATTTGGTGTTCTACCAGGGCGAGTCGTCAGTTCTCAATAGTTTTGAAGATATTCGACAATTATTGAGAAACTCTGTTTTATTTTTTCTATAGTTCATTCAATTTTCAGTTAGAATTTTGTCCATAGGTCTACGAGAAAGTGTTTCTTTCATTTAAATGTATTACTCAAGTCGAACTATATTCGAAAAATGTAGGGTGTCCCACCCGTACTTTGGATAGTTGTAAAACATAACCCCATTATTTTATGAATCTGTCGAAAAAGCAAACGTTGGTGAGTTGAAGAACCATTTGGGTGATTATTCAATTCGGTTGTTCGTTCATCAGCTGATCCAAACTATAAACACGAATATTTCCAAATTTTCCACTTGAGAGCCTATAAGTTTATCTATGATAATATAATTGAATAATTTTTTCAAGGATAACAGATCAGGTGTCAACAAACTAACATGCGGATCGTTCCCAAAAGTGTATATAG